ATGTTCAAGAGGTTAAATTTTGATGATGGTTTAGTTCAATAACTCTTCGTCTTCTCCTGTTTAGATCAAATTTCAATAATGGTTTAATTTAACTTTTTTTTTAAAAAAAAATTGTTCACTATAATAAAATCTCTATTGAAGATGAAGGTTTGTTTGTTGTACATCACAACAGAACAGAGGATAAGGTGCTTATAAACTTGGCTTTGCGCACACCATTCAATTGTCTCGGATATCCGAATCCAGATGTCGTCGGATTCGGACCTGCCCCAGCAATGATGGAGAATTGTCTAGATAAACATATGGCGAAAATTAAACTCTTTAACATGTTTTAACATTGTTGATGTAGTTTTGATTTGGTTAAAATTCAATTTCTAAATTTTGATTCGGTGCAAAATCACTATGATTGTAGCTATTTAAAATATTTATTGAGACTCTAGTTTTATTTCATGTAAAATTCTAGCTTTAGTCCAGCTAGAATCTTGCACCTCAATATGCACTGGACAAGATTTAAACTTTCCCGTAATCTCTTTTTTTGTAACAAGCTTTGCTTGCCCCTTTCAATTCGAAGGGAAAAAAAAAGCTTAAGTTAGAATCTCGTATCACCGTTATGTTATACTACCTCTTATCTTTAATATAAGATTTTATTTAACTTTTATTTTGATTTTAAATATAAGATCCCAGTTCACTTTGTCTCTTATATTTATTTATTTTTTTCTAAGATAGTCTTTGTGATAATAGTAATTTTAACCAATATACTTGATTAACAAAGATATTTTAGGAAAGACAACACTTAATTATTACAAATAACTAACTTAACTAATTAATTTTTTTAATCTATTCAAATTAGTCAACTAGTTCTTATATTATACCTCCGGTCCTTAATATAAGACCCATTTAACAAATTTGATTAGATTAAGGAAGTTAGGTAAGTTAGTTAATTATAAGAAAAGTAACACATTTTTCCTAAAACACCATAATCATCTTTCTTAATACCCCATCTCCCTCTTCTACTTGATTATGGTTGAGGGAGTATTCATAGGGGTAATTTAGAAAAAATTGATAAATATGATAAATGAGTTTTATATTTAAGACCAAAACCAACTCAAGAATTGAGTCCTATATTAAGGACCGGAGGAGTATAAAATATGCTGAGTCATGATGTCAATTTGGGAGCTTGTGAAATCGAAAGTCAAGGAAGCTCTGCTACAATGGGTTTTTTAACATTTTAAACGAACTTGATCGGTTTAAGTTGCGCCAAATTGAAATTAAGAGTTAAAATTATGCGGAGTGAGTTGCATAGAGTTAAAATTCAATGACTTAAATTATAAGTGAGTTAAAACAATTAATATTCTTCTTAAAATAAATAATAAACGCGAACTTCTGCACCAGATTGCTTGAAAGTTGGTTACCGGTTCAAAGGGAATATGGGCAGAACTTCTGCAACAGAAATATATTGCAGGGACTGGGGACTAGGTGGAGGACAAGAGATAGGGAAAGTGTCAAATTTTTTGAGGATTATTGTTGGTGGTTTAATGAGAAATGAATTGAGGATCTCTGCTTGGGATCTCTTAACACTTGCTGAACAACATTCCACTGCAGCTGAGTGGTTGAGCAATGGAACATGGGATTTTAATTTGATCCACTTAACCTAATGGGGTAATTTCTTCACTTATATCTGTCATTTCTCATCACAGCAATGAGTGTCTTATGCTTATCACTGTAATACAATATAAGCCATTTAAAATCTTATATGAATGATTCGTATTTAAAATTTTTAATATATAATTTTTTTTCAATGATAAATTTATTTTTCAAAGAAGTGTTAGCTATAAGAATATATGTATTTTAAATTCTGTATTTACTAAAACAAAAAATTAATTAAAATGTATAAAAAATTAAATTCAATCTAGATCATTTGAAATTGATCTGGATAGTTCAAATTGCGATAAGTATTTCATACTCATCATTATGATGAGGATGGAATGTGCTCAGCATTCTCCCTGAGATCCTTCTTTGGCACTGACATTATGATATAGAGTGGAGAGTTTTCAATTAAAAGTGGTTATCAAATCATTGAAAAAGATTTCTATAGTCACGCTGAAGCCATATGTGGAAGTGGAATGGAGCGGAAAGAGTTAGATTTGTCACATGACCAGTATATCAAAAAAGATTACCGAAAAGTGTCCATGGTAATTTCCAATTCTACCTATATGGGATTACTTAATCTTAAATAACAAGCAATTCCTCATATTAAATACTTTTTTAATAGGTTTTTTTCAATCTTAATCCCATCGTTACTTCTCATTCTCAGTGATTCGAATCAAATAGGACCTATGGGCGCGTTTGGTAGGTGGGATTGGGGGGGAGGCAATGGGATTGGAACAGGGATTAGATGAAATTGTCATGTTTGGTACAATGGATTGAAGATTACCAGGGATTGAAGATTACCACATTGGTGGGATTATACAATCCCACCTACACCCCCGGTAATGCCCTTTTGATCCTGGGATTAAAAGCTGAAAAAGACAAAAATACCCATATTACAATAAGGTTAAGACAAAATTACCCCTTTCATTTTTGCATTTCATCTCCTCCTAGATCGCAATCTCCATCTTCTTTCTTCCGCACGCTCACTCGGTCGCTCACGCCGGTCGCTCACTCGGTCGCTCACGCCGGTCGCTCACGTCGTCACTCTTGGTTGCTCTGTTCATCTTCAATCAATAGTAAGATAAATTCTATCCCTATTTTTTCAGTTATCATTAACATTTGTTTTTAATCTTCTTCGATGCACAAATTCTGGTGGATTTGGAAGATTGCTGGCATCACAAACATGAATCGGTTTAATAATGCTGAGATCATAAACGGTTCCTCAATGATTTATAGTTCCTTATTTGATCTCCCTCATCTGATTAGCCGTGCTTTATCATTAGCCTTATCTTCATCAGGTAGTGTGTATTTTACCTACTTATTGTCAATCGGTTCTTTTTTTTTTCAACAAAACATTGATGTCAAGGGAAGCATATGTCGAGGAAGGTTAAGGGGCATCATAGATTTAAGGCGATTCCATCCCGATCTCTGTTCCCGATTCAGTTTTAGTCATAGTATAAACCATAGATGAGAAAAGCAGCGAGCACTTCATACCACCAATCAAACTAAGAACACCATTAGTCGAGGTGGTTGAGAACAACATAAGGGGGATGTTTACAAATTTGATGTGAGCCGTTGCGAAACGCAATTTACCTGTTCATCTTTTCTGCATAATATGGGAGATTTGTTATCTTTCGTTTTCTTTCTTTTCGGTTCACTTGTTTTTATGCTCTGCAGTAAATGAGTTCATCATATAAGTCGATTTGTGCGAAATAAACTGTTATTTCTGGTTTGCTAGTATAAAAAATAAAAGAGGGGGGAAGGAGGAAAATAGGGAAATGGTATCTATTTGTTTGATTAAAGTTAGGTTGAGTTGCAATATATATAAGGCATACTATTCACGTTCGTGAGTTGCAATATATATAGTTGACTGTCTTTTCACTATCTATAATAATTCACTGTTATTTTAAACTCATCTGCGAGTATGATTTCTCAAAGGAAAAGGTAGTATTATTTATGCTTTCAAAACGAGACCCAAATGGATTCTCCACCATCTCTTTCTATCCCCTCTTGTGTGTATACATAAGATATAAACTTTACCATCATTCTGTTTTTTTTACTGTCACTCTTTTTCTCTAAATGCATAAAGGTAGAAACAGGGGAAATGTGATTTCATCCATCTTTGTCTGATTCAGTGGTCATGCTAACCAATTTTTTAAGCCCAGATTCTACGAGAAGTTTAATATGTAGTAAAAGCAAAAGTGGCATGATGATGACGATGATGATTTTGAATGAGGATGATGAATAAGATATTCTTAGCTTGGTCTTCACTCCTAATACCTATTCTTTTTAAGGCAAATCCAGCTTCTCTCACTTCTTAAATAGTTTAATCAGTCCTGCTTTTCTCACAAAAGCTTAGATCCTGGCCTCCAACTTTGAGTTCTCATTCACATATAGTAATATTTAAAATATGCATCTCTTTAATTAATCTGAGGTCCTGGATGGGATAATATCCATCTGATTTGGATCAATTTGGTTTATGAACAAATGAAGGGTGAGATCATCATCATGTTGCCGCTGCATGCATCTCTTTTACTACACACACACACACACACACAACATTCTCATCATCCTCATTTTGCCCTCTGTTTCCTCAGGCGTGGGGGCTACGCTATCATTGGCTTCCTTTCATTTTTACCCTTTTACCCCCTAACTATATATATATAATTATTGGATGGATGCCTCCATATGTCTCTACATGCGCACACACACACACACACATATATATATATATATATAAATAAGAGAGGAAGCATATGCAGAGTGATTCCAGTGGTCGTGAAAAACTACATTATATTCAATTCTACGTGATGAAATCTGAATCCGCAACATCATATATTGTTCCCATTCTCGCTTTCCTCTTTTTCCCACAAACCCATATCTCTACACACACACACACATATTCCATTTCTGGGGCCATACACACACACACACAAAGATTCAATATCAAACCCAAATCTGTCAGGCTCACATGCATGAAGCAAGACCACGTATGCATATTCATTCAGATTTCATCCCATGAAATCCTCATCATAAATTAATATTCCCCAGATTTTTCCGTCGTCCTCATCAGCTGAGGAGTGGACACCCGCCTTTCGAGTGGTCCCCGTTTCATTAATAAACAAGTGGATCCTCTCTTCAGAACTCCTCTCTTCTTTCATTTCTTTACTGCCCTCCCTCCACATGAGCCGTTTGTCCTCCACCATCTCTTTCTATCCCCTCTTATTTACATGTTTTCCTGTTCTTTTTTTTCCTGTTCTTTTTGCTTTTGGACATGTATATTATTTGCATATTCTGATTAAATTAATTAATCTGTGTATATGGTTACTTTGTTGGAGGATGAGTTTAGTTCAAGATTAGAGATTTAATTGTTCTTATATGTGTATATTGGTTACACAGTTATGGCATTATCTGAAGAAAAGAGAGAACTATTACGTGTGTTGCTTTTGTGGGTGAGCATGGCTGAGGCAGTGCAGGGACTGTTTTTCTGTATATGTATGAGTATCATGTTAAGGAGACAACGAGTCAAACACATAACTTACCAAATGGACTTTTTTGCTAAGAGATCTTATCTAACAAGAATGGTGTCTACTAGTGATGTGGCATGTTTCAACCTACTTAGAATGAATAGGGCAACATTTGATAGGCTATGTTATATGCTAAGAGATGTGGGTGGTCTCAAACCTAGTAAGCATATGCTTATAGATGAGCAAGTTGCCATATTTTTACACATATTAGCACATCATGTGAAGAATAGAGTGATACAGCATAACTTTGGAAGGTCTGGAGAAACCATTAGTAGGTATTTCAACTTAGTGCTTAATGGTATGATGAGACTTGGAAATATGTTGTTGAAGAAACCAGAGCCTGTACCGGAAGACTCAAATGACGATAAGTGGAAGTGGTTCAAGGTAGACGTACATGTTTTATATATATATTTATCATTAATTTTTAAAGATATGTGAGAAGTATATAATATGTGTTTTATTTGTTACAGCATTGTTTAGGTGCATTAGATGGAACTCATGTAAAAATGAGAGTTCCTTCTCTTGACAAGGCTAGATACCGAAATAGGAAAGGAGAGATAACAACAAATGTGTTGGGTGTTTGCTCACAAGATGGGTACTTCATATATGTTTTGCCTGGGTGGGAAGGGTCTGCAGCGGATGGACGAGTTCTTCGTGATGCCATTAGTAGGAGGAATGGCTTGAGAGTTCCACAAGGTCAATATTACTTGGTTGATGCTGGATACACCAATTGTGAGGGATTTCTTGCACCATATAGAGGACAAAGATACCATTTAAGCGAATGGAGAGAGGGGCGACATCCTAGAAATGCAGTATGGGATGAGTATGTAAAGGTAAATGTTTACTTTTGCAATTTACATATATGGCTATTATTTTTGTTAATGACCACTGATATTTTTCATTTAGCTGCTATTCACTACTATGATTGATACATGTAGACTATAAATGCGATAGTAAATAAAATTTTGATGATGACCTTCTCTCTTGCGAAGGTACCCCAATTAATATGATTCCCCTTCGCATCCCAACTTACGGCCCCCCTCCCTATTCTTCCTTATCGTCTTTATTCTCTCCGTTTTTCCCCCCTTCATCCTTTTCTATTTTATTCTCCTTCCCCTCTCCCCAAGCTGATCTGTATCCATTACATACACAAGGATATTTTATTTTCTCTTCTTTCTTCATCGTCATATGATATGATAATGATATATATTCCATGTTAGCCATTAGTTTAGATCCGGGTTGGCTGAATCTCTAAGAGCAAATAAACTCTTTCAACATTTAACATTTCAAACCGGTTGATGAAAATCAATCCTTCTTCAATGAGTCAATGAAAATACTTTATACTTTCAGAACTTGAAATAACTGAGGTTGTAACCCTTTATTATCCATTCAATTGTTTCATACCTCAACCAATTTGGTAATTTCATAACTGTTTAAGTTACAATTAATTTCATAATTGTATTTCAGGTGTTTGATTATTTATTAATGATTATAACTTGTGTTATCCTTACAGGCGCACAAGGAGGCAGCTAAGTTCCGGAACAAGTCTTTCTCTTATTATGATGAGCTTCATGACATGTTTGGCAAGGATAGGGCAACCGGCAAGGATGCTCAAACATGTGAAGATGTCCTTGAGGAGCTTCAAGATCAGAATGGTTTGGACAATTCAATGCTTGATGCTGACCCAGATGCTGATATGGATATATCACATGTCAACACTTCACATCCGGAAGACACTTCACATGTCAATAATCAAAATGAGCACATTTCATCTGATGCAAGTTCAGGGTCCAAAAAGCAAAAGCGCACAAGAGCTGATCGTGATGACATCTTACTCAAAGGTATTGAGACAGTTGCTCGTTCATTTTCTGAAGGTTTGATGGAGGCAAGTGATCGCCTGGGAATGCGTTTGGATAGGGTTGAACGTGAGAAACGTTTAGATGGGATGAAGGAGTCACTCTATGGTGATCTTATGAAGATTGAAGGACTTTCACACAAAGAACGTATGGCAGCTTATGTCAAGATGATATCTGATGAGAGCATACTGATTGGATTTTTTGCCATGTCTCAAGAGGGGAAAGTTGATGTGATCCGTGAAATAATATCTCCATGAATATGCTGATGAATATTTTGATATTTGTGTGACTGAAGTTGGGATATTTTCATGAGAAACATAGGAATATTTTGTTAGACTTGAAATATTTTGTTTCAAACAGGAATATTTTGTTATAGACTTGAAATATTTTGTTTCAAGTAGGAATGTTTTGATAGCCGTTTGAAGTAAGATATGGATTATCTTACTTACTTGAACTAATATTACAGAAAATTATAGCAAGACTTGTCATTTGCTTTTTATCTTTTGATCTTATATATTATTAATTTTAAAATGTATTACTAAATTTTAAGTAAATTATAATATTAAGTAAACTATAATTTTAAGGAGTTATTAATAATTTTTTGGGATGAATTTTAAATTTTTATTACGTTTTTATATTTAAATTTGATGGGATACGGTGAAAATTTTCTGATTTTCAAAATATTTAATTTATTTTTACTTATTTTTATTGTAAAATGAGGCAAATTTTAATATATTTATTTTTAAAACAATATAAATGACTATGCGGTCTTCTTTTTCTTAGAAAAAGAGTGCATAAAGTTAGAGTCCCAAGTTCTAAAATATCAAGGGTATTATAGTCTTTTAATTTTATATATCTTATTATAAAATAAAATAAATACATGTATTCCTTCCATATATTGCCTCCTACCAAACACAAATAAAAGCCCCATTCCCAATCCCATTACCATTCCCATTCCCAATCCTATTACCATTCCCATTCCATCAAAAACCAATTCCTCCTACCAAACATGGCCTAAGAGTCTGAGAGCTCCATATTTGTTGAGACTCTTGTAAATGTTCTTCTGACGACAACCTCAGTTCGAGGTCCTCCATGTCTCGTGTCCATCCATGAGTTGTCTGGGCTTACTAAGAAGTCTGCTCGTTCTTCTGCTAGCCTGCACCTTTTCTTCTCTCTCCCAAATTTCTTTCACCGTATCCCATTCTGCAAATTTTCAAACATGTATTTGTATTGCAATGGACACACATTTGTCAGAATATTAGTTTCATATGGTACATGGCGAATGTTCTATTTAATTAATGCAACCTTTTCCCAGTATCTACATGCTCTTTAGAGAGATTTTCAAAAGATAATTTAACATCCTATACGTGTAAAATTCCGTTCCTATAAGGGTTTGATAACCACCAGTTTCCAAGTGTGTCATCGTAATTAAGCATCCCCCGTCAGCAAGTTACACTCAAATCCAATAATCCAATCCAAAGCATCCACATAAACTTTAATTATACAACAAACTCATCAAATTAGACCAATCCAATCCAATCCAATGCAAAGCACCAATTAAGCTTAAGCACACCTCCAAAATATGAGGATGTGGAGAGAGAAACCAAGAGAGAGGGAGGTTTGGTAGGTGGGTTTTATAAGTATTTTGAATAATCTCTTTTGCAGGTGGGCTTTGTGGACATTTTAGTAATCATGTCCTTTGGAACCATCTTCTTAAGATTCTTCCATACCCTCTTCATCCCGTACTTAACGGCCATCATAATGGGAAATTGAGTCAATCCAAATAGAGTCACAGGGACGAACGTAATACTGTAAGTCAAACGGGAACGCCATCCCTCGTCTTCCCTCGTCCCAGTGGTCAGCAATATTGTTGATACAAAAGCCAGCACCATGCTGATCAAGGAGATGAACAAGAAGGTGAATCCCATCGTGAGTTTTCTGGGAAGAGACTTGTAGAACTCTTGCATCTGAAACGGCGACGTAAGGATCGAAAGGAACAACATCACTGAGACTAGTGAACTGGCCTGCCCCACAACATCCGTGACGGTGAAGAACTGGAAGAGAGGAGAGTTCTGGAGGTTTGGAATGCCGATCTCATTGGTGCCGCCGGGAACCGTGTAGCCTGCGGCAAAGACCACGGTGGCCACCAGAACGGACGCCGCCGAGCATGACTGAGCCGTCCCCTTGATCCACTCTCGGGCTTCCTTCAGCATTTTTGAGTGCTCTAAATCAAAAAGCTCTCTTGGTGTTAAATTATCCTTGTTGCAAAACAACTGGTAATGACAAGGAACTATCTTCTTCACTCTCTGCATGTACATATACAATAATATGTTATCAATCCCATTCATAAACCTTCTTCCCCTGGTAAATCCCTCCCTGGTCTATAATGCCGTACCGGATTCTAACATCACAACTGTATCCACACTTGGGCTTTCAAGCCACACACAAAAATGTCAAAATGTTTAACGCATTCAGTTTATGATGGGTCTTCTTTCACTCATCCTTACACACCGTTTGAATGGGAAGAAAAATTACTGAAAGAAAAGAAAATGAAGGGAAGAGAAAACTAAAAAGAAAAATAAAATACATTATCACTCTCCCATTTAGATAGGTAGGAAGAAAAGAAAGAAAATAAGAGTCGTAGAACTTACTTCGAACCAACGGAGCTCCTCCTGAAGTTGGAAGACAACACCAGGTTGGTTTCCTCCATCATAATAGTCCATCCTCGCAACTTGGTGCAAAAGAGTGCAATTATCAGTAGCTATATGAAAGGCCAACCCTTTGAGGACTTTGTATTCCTTGAGATGCTTATAGATGTTCCTCTGACGGTGCTTGACGGCGACGTGCAGGACGTTCTGTTCATCATGTTGGCTGACATGGGAGACGGCGTCGGGATGAGATTCGATGATTTTCTCGACGATTTCGATGATGCCGCTGCTCGCTGCTAGCAGCAATGGCGTGTAGTTCTCACACTTAAGGGGTTCCAGGGAGGAGTTGGTCTTCTCCAAGGAGGCCTTCCTCGTTGCAGCAACGTTCTTGGGTTGAATCACCGGCAGGACAACTTCTCTTCGTGAATTCATATGTTTCGTGTCCGTCCATGAGTTGTCTATGCTCACCAAGAAGTCAGCTACCTCCTTTGCGTCCTTGTTCTTCTTCTTTCTCTTCCAAATTTCTTTCACACTATCCCATTCTGCACATATTCATACATTATAATTATCTTGTAATTAGTGTAGCAGTGTGTACACACACATGTATGTCAAAACTGAGCCAAGATCCTTACCTTTGGCCACAAGCTGCCGGATAGCATAATAGCTAATGGAAGAAACTGCAGAACAGGAACATTCATATAAGGAATTTGTGTTATGATGACTAGTAATGAGTATATAGATGTCACCTCCGTCTTTACCCAGCTGACTAGTTTGGAAAAATTAAGAATGCTAAATAAATTACTACCTCCGATTCTTAATATAAGAGCTAGTTTGATTTTCAATTTGTTTCTAAATATAAGAACACCAATCCACTTTGTCTTCCATGTTTATCTATTTTTTTCTAAAATAGCTTTTGTAAGAGTTGAACATATTAAATATTTCATCAAATAATACTTGATGAGTAAGGATATTTTAGGAAAGACAATATCTATTGATTACAAATAATTAACTTAATTGATTTTCTTAATCTATTCAAATTAATCAACTAGCTCTTATATTGAGGAATGGAGGTAGTACTTTAAAGTATTTTTTACAAATTAATTTGTTTGACTTATAAAGTAATATGTATATATATGTGATATCTAATGATATATATATATATATATATATTTTCAAGTAATTTGTTTAGATTCTATAATATTCTCAAATTAGTCTTATATTAGGAATAAGGTAGCATATAAACTACAGAAAAGAAATGGTGTTCATAAGTATATGTGTGCGTACCTGCTGGAGATGGTGAGATGGTTTTCTTGGTCTTGTTTTTTAAATTTCCGCTTTCTAAATCTTCCTTCTCTCTAATAAACCCATCATCATCATCGTCTTCTTCTTCATCATAACCTTTGTTGGGAAGACCTATCACCCAACTTATATATCAGGCATCAATCCGAATCCTCTTCAATCATACAACTTGTATAATGTTATAAATTGTCAAAAATAAATACTACCTTCGATCCTTAATATAAAAACTAGATAACTAACTTGGAGATATAAAAAAAAAATTAGTTAAGTTGGTTAATTATAACAAGTTTATGTTGACTTTCCTAAACTATCTTTTTTAATCACGTATATTGAAAATATTCCTTAGTAGGAACCCCTTACAATTAAGAGGGATATTTTAAAGAAAATATTATAAATTTGAGTGATAAAATAGATTAAAATCTTATATTAATTAAGATCAAATTCAATCTCTAACTAATTATTATGTTAAGGATAAGAGGTAGTACAAAAGTAGCTCTCTTTTGAAGATGAACCGTACTACTGGTGCATGCATGCTTGGATTAAAGTTGCAAACATAATTCATGTTAAGAGTGATTAATACAAAGATAAATAGATCTTCGCCTTTCTCTATTTAAATGCACAAAGCAAGCTAATAGCTTGACACATAACGAGTGGGATCAAAACTGCAATCTCCCACATGCCAAGACCACAATGCCAAAAGGGCAATGCTGACTTTATTTTTACTCTAACACTTAAATTATGCATGTTGTGTGCAAGACTGATATGATAATTAGTAAATTTATGAACAAACACAAATGAAGGGGTTAAAATATAAACAAATAATTTGAAAGAATGTAATAGCAGGACTGAAGAAAGATAATAGGGGGAGGGAAGTAGTTTTGTACGTACAAACATAAATGAGGTTGTGCAATCCTGCCTGAGAATTATAGCTCTTGAAAGCTGATGGCATTCTTGACAGCAGTTGAAGACAGCTCAATCCTTTCTCCTTAATGACTTCGTCTGCAGATGCTACTTTCTCAATGCCTTCCTTTTTTGATAACCACTTAGCTACATCTGCACCGTCGTCAAGTTCAGTTTCTTCGTGTTCCGTCATTTGATGGCCAACAATTAAGCAATTACTAAACCACAAAGAAAATATATCTTGTAGGATTAATTATTGCGTATACATTAGGAAATTGGAAATGTGTGTGGGTATGAAGTATCTTTCTACCAGAAAAATACTTATGTCAAGTTTTTTATATCCATTATATCAAGTTTTTTAATACATTATGTCTTACTTTTTTCATGTGGGTTTATAACTAAATGATAATATTTCAAAAATAGGATATATAATCATGTATAATTGAAAAACTTAACATGACAAATATAAGAAACTTAATACAAGTATTGTCTCGATCATTCCCCCTCCCTACTATAAGTGGTAGTTTGAAGTATTATGATGAGAACTAGTAAAAATAGGCTTGAGATGATAGTGAGAATGGAGGATGGAGTTGTAAAAAGGTTTAACATTTATATAATATAGGTACCTGCAAAAAGAGCTATTGCGAACACTTCTAATATTATTTATGAGGATATTGTTAAATTTCTTTCCTTTTTTACTTTTTCCTCTATGTAAGTAGTTTTTTTTCCTAGATCGTAGGTTAATTTTATTTCTTAGCTCTTGTCCTTCTTTTACTTCTTGTATCTAGTAATACTCTTGTATTGCTTATTTCTATAATTAATGCATTTTAATTTTTTTCTATCTATCAAAATATATATTATGTGCGCGGAAGAAATTATATTAAGAAAAAAATTTTAGAGAGTATCAACTGCAATTTAACCATTATGGGAACCGGTTTAAGTTATGGGCATTCTAAACTCATCAGATCTAGAGTGACCATATCTCATTTAGATAGTCCGGATTTGATTTCTAATATGGTAAGTTTAATTTTCAAAAAATCCATGATTGTTACAACAAATCATTATTGAAGCTTAATGATTTTAGGATTAAAGGACTAAATATATACTTTTTAAAGTTAAAAGACTAAATGTATAAATGTATACTTTAGCCTAAAAATTTTGACTCGTAAACTCATACATAAATTTGAACATAAACAGTGCAAAACTGATGCAGATTCACTTGTAAATATGAGTTGTAAATTCGATAAATTAATAGAGAAGATATATATGCCGATACCAAAATGTTGGCCAATTATGGCAATGTGAAGGACAGAAGTGGAGTCTGATGTTCTGTAGAAGTGTGGCTCCATATTCTCTACATATTGCGCCATGCGCTTCAGCATCCTCAGCCTGCCGTACTTGGCGACCCGGTACACCGGCGTCTCGCCGAGGTCGTTGCGCAGCTCCAACAGATTCTCATCATCAGGCTTCCTCAGATTCTTGTCCTTCTCGTACTTCAGCACAAGGTTCACCATCTCCACTTCCTCGCACAAGGAAACTTGGTGAAGAAGCGTGTTCTTGTGAGCATTCCCCTCCCTCAAGGCTTCCCGGCGATGATCATCAGTGGAGGCTTGATAAGAATCAGAGTATTCGCGGAAAGCTGAAACAAATTCAATTCTCATATCATTCTGTAAAATGGCTTACATACTTAATACATCAGTCCACACCTCTTTATATTGGACAAAACTGAACTGAACGAAGTAACAAACTACTGGACTAATAGGCCTACAATATTCAACCAGACAGGCCCAGCTATCAAACACTAACTAAACAAAAACTATACATTTAATACTCCCCCTCAAGTTTGGGGCTGGTAAACGTTTAAAGCACCTAACTTGCTAAGTAACCGCATCTGTGTTTCTTTACCCACTGCTTTGGTTAATATGTCAGCCTCTTGATCAGCAGACCTTACATGCTGCAATTTGATTAAACCCTTTGTCACCTTTTCCCTTACAAAGTGACAATCAATCTCAATATGCTTTGTCCTCTCATGAAAGACCGGATTTGTTGCAATGTAGATTGCAGGTCTGCTGTCACAATGCACATCCACTGGCTCCTGTACAGACACCCCCAGATCGGCTAAAAGACCTCTCACCCAGATTACTTCAGAGACAGCTGAACCCAATGCCCTATACTCAGCTTCAGCAGAGGATCTTGAAACTGTCACTTGCTTCTTTGTCTTCCAGATTATAAGTGCATCTCCTAATTTGAGAAGATAGCCAGTCACGGACCTCCGCGTGGTCTCACATGACCCCCAATCTGAATCACAAAAGCAGTGAAGCTTCAAATCCCCCTTTGAGCTCAGCTGAATTCCAAGACCAGGCGATTGTTTGAGGTATCTCAGCACTCCCATAGCAGCTCCCCAATGACACTTCATTGGTAGTTGCATGAACTGACTCAATACCTGCACAGGAAAGGAAATATCAGGCCTTGTCATAGTTAAATATATTAGTTTTCCTATCAGCCTCCTATACTTCCCTGGTTCTGGGAACAAATCCTCCTTTCGATGCTTCCCTTCTTCATAAGCTGTCAATTTAAATGCTGTGGCATAGGCAAACTGAGGGGTCTACAACCACTCATACCTGTTTCTGCAAGAAGATCTAGTATATATTTCCTTTGGGACAGTATGATTCCCTTTCTGGACCTTGCCACCTCAATGCCCAAAAAATATTTCATGACACCTAAGTCCTTGATTTTAAAATGACTATGCAGATATGATTTAACCTGAATAATTCTTTGCTCAGAACTCCCAGTAATCAATAAGTCATCCACATAAACCAGAATAACTACAAAAGCATCATCATAATGTTTAATATACAAAGAATAATCATGTTTACTCTGCACAAAACCTCCACTAATCAAAGACAGTGAAAGTTTTTGATTCCACTGCCTTGAAGCTTGTTTGAGTCCATAGAGGGACTTCTTAAGTTTACACACCATATTATTCCCTTGGTTCTTAAAACCTTGGGGTATGGTCATGTAAACTTCTTCATCAAGATCTCCCTGCAAAAAGGCATTATTCACATCCATTTGATACAATGGCCAATTATTCACAGCGGCTATCTTTAAAACAGTTCTAACAGTGACCATTTTCACCACAGGAGAAAATGTTTCATATAATCAACCCCTTCAATCTGACTATAGCCTTTTGCTACTAATCTAGCTTTATATTTATCAATGGTCCCATCTGGCTTATATTTTACCTTATAAACCCACTTACATCCTATTGGCCTTTTTCCTTTAGGTAAATGAACAATATCCCATGTTTCATTCTGTTCTAAAGCCTTTATTTCATTTTTCATAGCTATTACCCAATTATTGTCACGCACAGCATCAGCATAGTAGATAGGCTCAATGACAGAATCAATCGAACAAAGAAAGCTCATATGTGAAGGGGAAACACCATCATATGATATATAATTCTCTATTGGATATTTGCATACAGATCTCTTTACTGTGTTACAAGCAGATTCACCAGTATTGGACTTCGCCATGTTACAAACATAATCTCTAGACCATATAGGGGGACGTCTCTCTCTCACAGGACGTTCATTAACACAATCAGAGTTCACACCAGTGCAATTTAAGGGCTGATCATTAGCATTATCAATCACAGAATCAACATTATCATCATTATTAGTCACTGAATTGGATGTAGAGCTAGAATTCCTTGTGAATTCCGACTGAGAGTGCTCATTATGATCATCAAAATAAAACATTTTTTTAACCTCATCAGACACTCCCCCTTGATCCGTACCATTGGTGATCTGAAATGGAAAAACATCCTCAACAAACCTTACATGTCTACTTATAAACAGTCTATGATCTTTTAGATTCAGCAAAATATACCCCTTTTTATTATCAGAATACCCTAAGAAAACACATGGTATTGACCTAGATTGAAACTTATCTGAATTAATAAGATTTGTGGCATAAGCTAAACAACCAAAAACTCTTAAATCAGCATAGTCAGGGGTCCGACCATGCACAAGTTGATAGGAACTCTTGAAATCTAATATTCGGCTAGGAATTCTATTTGCTAGATGAGTTGCCATTTTAACGCATTCACCCCAAAACTTGATTGGCAAACCTGATTGTATTATTAGACCTCTTGCAATTTGCATTAAGGTCCTGTGTTTTCTTTCTACAACACCATTCTGCTCAGGAGTATAAGGACAAGAACTTTCATGTATGACACCCCTATCTTGGAAATACTTTGTTAATTCATGGTTAATAAATTCAGTGCCATTATCGCTTCTTACCCTTTTAACAGATTTTTCAAACTGATTTTGAACATAAGCAAAAAAATTCTTGATATGACTAACAGTTTCAGATTTATGTTTCATCAAATACGTCCAAGTTGATCTAGAAAAATCGTCCACTATAGTCAGAAAATATTGAAAGCCTGAATGAGTGGGTACTTTGTAAGGCCCCCAAACATCCATATGAATTAGATCAAAACATTTTTTAGTTTTAATACAGCTAGAAGGGAAAGGAAGTTTGGTCTGCTTGGACTGGAAACAAACATCACAACTTTTATTCATATTCACTGATTTGTCATGTACAATGTCTAAGTGTCTCAACACATTCACAGGAGTGTGTCCAAATCTTTTATGTAAAAGCCACAGATCAGTATGATTCACAGAACAGCAAGTATCAGTATCTATCCTTGTATCAATGTAACTCTTTTCTAAATCCAGAAGGTATAAACCGTGCACTACTCTACCAATCCCCATCATTCTCCCATCCTGAAGGTCCTGCAACATACATCTATCAGGATAGAAAGATACCACACAGAATAGTTCTTTAGTGACCCTAGAAACAGATATTAGATTGAATTGAAGCTCAGCAGCATATAAAATCCCTTTTAATTCAATTCCATTAGGAAATTTAATATCTCCTACGTGAGTCACAGAAAATCTGTCTCCATTTGGAACCCTTATAGTTTTAATTGGTCCATTATAAGTTGCATAATTGTCCAATAATCCTAGGTCACTGACCATATGTGTGGTGGCTCCTGAATCTAAGACCCACTTACTGTGTTTTAAATTAGAAGAGTATAGAATTGGCAAACCTGTACCGCTTAACGCATGAGCATCAGCATTCGAGTCCTTTTTCAACAGCTCCAGCAAGCGTTCATATTGCTCTACTGTA